CAGCTCCAACCCCACGGGGTGCAGGTAAAACCCAGCCCCTGAGATGTTGTAGTAGAGGCCAAACCAGGTGGCCCGATCTCCTGATTGCAAACCACTGGGGGCTGTGGTCATTGTCACCAGGTTCCATCCTTGGTGTTTGTAGAAGCAACAGTGGTGGAGGACACCAGCAGCCTGGGGCAGCTCTTTGTTGAAGATCATCTGGTCTATGTCCAGGTACTCTCGGATCAGCATGGGGCGTCGGTGATAGGGCAGGGGGCCCCCGTGACGCTCCACTGTCACATCCCGCATGTATGAGGGGTGCGGCAGCGGTCCCACCACCAGCTCACTCACGTTGGGCTGGGGTTGTCCACCAAAGAAGACGATGGCCAGTGCTTCCCGGGCAGGCGGGGGACTCCCCCTGTCCATGTGGGCCAGGGCTGCAGCCTTGGGGGGCAGCTGCAGCTCCACCGAGAAGACGCAGTTGTCCGAGGGGCGGGCCTGGGCTGCATCCACCAGGCCTGGCCCCAGCTGCTGGGTCAGAAAGCTCATCACGGCCGTCAGCTCCTCTGGGCTCAGGTCGGCAAACAGCTCGCTCTGGCCAGGGTGTGTCCAGGGCTGGGCACTGGGAGATATGGAGGGGCAGGGGAGAGGCAGGCTGGGTTCACCCCCATCTCTTCCCCTGCCAGCTAGCAAGACACACACCAAGGCAAAGATGGTGATGACAGCCAGAGCGAGGAGCACCAGGGTGGTCTTCTGGTTCATTGTCCCGTGAACAGATGGACAGAGGATGAACCAGAGTGGAGACTTGTATTCTCAGACCAGCAGAAGAGGGTCTCTCTTGGTTCCTATATTGGGGGATCCTGGACTCTGGCTGAGGTTCCCAGTATTCAGACGCATAGGAGACTGAGGGTGGGAAGGACAGGGAAGGCTGGGGAGAGGGGCAGGGCGGGCCAGAGTTGGGGGGCGGGTCTGAAGCAGGGCAGCAGTGATTTCCACAGACCTTACATGGCTTTGTCCTCCAGGCTCCAAATCAGACTCTGCTCTCTGGGTCAGCGCTGGAGCTGGGGAGAGCGGGGGTAAGAGGAAGTAGGGGGCGGGGGGGCGGCCGGTTTCAAGATAATACAGCTGGCCAGCCTGAGCACGGAAGTGCAGCACCAGCAAGGAGCCGGGGTTGTGCAGAGTGGGTTTGTGCAGAGCGGCTCCTCATACCCCTCAGCCCCGCTTCTTGCCCAGCCCCCACCTTCCCAGGGCCAGATGTTCCCTTTCCTGTAACTTGGAACTGTTATTCTCCTTCCAAGGAAATCCCCACCCCCAGCCCTTGAGCTTCCCAAACAGCATTCCTTGGCCAGGTCTGTCCCCCTTGCCCTCTCTCTTCTATTGCTAATTTCCTTGGCCAGAGTCCTCAATATTCTCTGGGGGGGTTCTAGATACTAGTCATATAGAAGAAATTCAAGTAAAAATCTTGTAATATTTTTATTATAAATTGCACATACCATCAATTTTTACAAAATTCTCTTCTTCCATTTCAATGCATGTGCATAAAGAAATGCCTTGTATAACATTCATTAAATGTGAACACTAGCTATTTCTAATTGGTAGGATTTGTGGTGCTGTTTGAATATTTTAATAATAATATCATCTGTGTAAATTCATCATTTAAAAAAAATGAACTGGAAATAAGAATTAACTGAAAGGATATATGAGGGTTTATTGTGGGAGGAGGCTGTTTCCTAAGAAACATTAAGAGGCTGGGAGTCAGGGGAGCAGGAAGTGGGAACAGAGAGGAAGGTACATATGCCCCAGCATCCCTACTCCATGTCCCACCAAAACCTCAGGGCTAAAAGTCCTGGTAAGAGAAAGGGGGCAGGTCCGGGACACAGGCTACCAGGTGAGGGATGCAGGCCACAGGGTTGACACTGCAGAGCCCAACATCCTGGCCCTTCTCAAAGTAGATGCTGCCAGGGGAGAAGATGGAGGGGTCTTCATCAAAGAAGTTATAGGGTCGGAGCAAGAAGCCAACTCTGTTCCCCACAGTCACTGTGTTGGGGACATCCTCAGCGTGGGGGATGTGCAAGAAGCTGGCTGTAACCCAAGCCACCAGGTCCTGCAGGAAGAGGGAGAAGCTGGAGGACTTGTGAGGCCACACCCAGAGAACCACCCTTCAGCCACAATTCCAAATCTCCAGCCTTGGCCCTGCTTCCACCTCCGCCCAGCCCCAGGCCCACAAAACAGGCATGGTGATCCATGTGAGAAGCTGTAGGGTGGTTAATGTCCCAGGGCTAATCACACTCCAGGAAGGAAGACCCACGGTGGTCATCAGAGAACTCCTTGGCCCCTGAATCTGAGAACTGGAAACCTACCATTCCCTCTAACCTACAGCCAGGGGCTGGGCAGCCGATACACCAGGCTCAGAGGAGCCTCTCTCCCCTGCCCCTAGGGCTACCAACCTCTCCTAAGAGGGTCTCATTGTTGATGAAGTCAGCAAAGGCCATAGTGGGTGTCCAGATGTCATTCTGGTAATAGATGCTGCTGCTCTGTGACTCCTCCTCCTTCCTCCGGGTCACCACGAGCTGGTATCTGACCAGGAACGTTGTAGGAAGGTGGTGTCAGAAAATGTCAATGGCCCTTACCAGCCCAGAAGTCCTCTCAATCAGATTCTGTGTGAGACCATTCCCCATCCCATATCTACTTAGATCTGAGAGGAGGTACAGGGGTGAACGGTAAGCCAAGGGTAGTGAGTTCGGGTGTCCAAGAGCTGGGAAGGGGAAGGGGACCCGTCCTTCCCTACCACCCAGTGCCCAGGGCCCTCCTCACCTCCCCCAGCTGAGGGCCCTCTCCATGTCGCTCTCCAGGGGCATGTGTATGCCGAGGGGGCTGTGGATCTGGATTCGATACCCGCGCTGGTGACCCCAGGCATTAGTCTGGTTGCTAGCCAAGTAAAGATAGCGGGGAAGGGGGCTTTGCAAGGAAAAAGCTGTCAGGTCCTCCCTTCCCAGCACCTGCCGAGTCAGCTGTGGGCGCTGCAGTTGGTGCTCCGGACTCCAAGGGGCTGCCACAGGTTTAAACACCACGTCTTCAGCTACCACCCAGTTTTTCAGCCCTGCCAGGGTGAGGGGAGGGAGAGGAGTTCCATACCAGGTGAGACAGGTCTCTCATCTTCCCCACCATGCCCATTGCACTGCCCTAACAAAGGGCAGCAGAGCTCACCAGAGAGCACCCTGTACTGGGAGGCAGGTCTGGATTCGAGCGCTAGCCCATCTTCTTCAGACCTGCCCTGTTCAATATGGTTACTGTCAGTCAGAAGTGGCTATTTCCATTTAAACTAAAAATTCACTTCCTCAGTCACACCAGCCACATCTCAAGTGCTCAACAGCTACATGTGGCTGGTGGTTAACGGACTGGACAATGCAGATACAGAAATTTCCAACGTTGCAGACAGTTCTATTAGCACTGGTCTACCCAACAGACCTTGGACCAATTCTCAGCTTCTGATTCTTTCTGAATCTCTACACTGGGCATAATAAAAGCTGTTCTGTGGCTTAGCTCTGTAAATGGAAAAGCACATGCAAGTGGCTGCTAACATTCTTGTAATCATGAAAGGGATAATATTTTTGGAGAAGCTGGCTGGAAAAACCCAATCCCCTTCCACGGTGCCCTGCACATTCCTCCCAGCTCTGAGACTCTCCTTTCTCTCTCAACAAGGTGGGGACCACTTTGTCTTTTTTGGAAGTGAGATTTGTATCTTTTAAACTGTCTAGGAGCTCCCTGGAGTTCTATTGCATTCATAACCTGCACTCAGCATCCCACCCAGCACTTGACGATATACCCTTTCTTTCTGCAGGTTTGGACTGTTAGTTCCTTTAAATACGACCTATATGAGGGCACCTGGCACAGGGAAGCACTCTACTGAGGCCAGTGCCTCTGCCAGTTATTGTCCTGTGTGCAGGGGACTGGCACAGCCTCTCTGGCCCACAGCCCTGGCCTGCGCTGCACACTCTAGGGATCTAACAAATGTTACTCAATTTTACTTCCCAAGACAAGGCTCTTGAATGCCAAAAATGCTGAAGAGAAACTTCAAGTCAGAAAATAGTCATATCCCAAATATGTTAATGAATAATCTAGTTAATATGCTCATTTCAATCATGCATTTTCTCAGTTCTCCCTCCCCTCTATGCCCACACCACACACACACCCATGTCTTTATACTCGAGGATAAGAAAACGTTTCACAAGAAATGTGCTTAGTTACAGTGCATTATACTTGGGCAGTCACTTCCTATCCCATCTCCTCCTATCCTCCTTAGTTTCCCTAACTGTAAAAGAGAGTGGGTCTGGTGGATTTCTAATTTTCTTTCAGGGTCTAACAGTCTGTGATTTGGTAAGTTAGTCATTTTCTGTCCTCAACAAAAATCTGCCAGGAGCAGCAAGTCCTCTTTGTGATCTGAGCCCTACTTGAGAAATCCCTTTCGATACTGGGAGCAAGCCTACTGCATGCCTGCCGTGTCACCAGAGAGCCCACTGTGATGACACATGCTGGCAAGAATGAGATGGCCCGCCTCAGGAGCATGAGGCCACTATCTCGTATCCCCAGTTGCCTGAAATCCTGTGGTACAACCCCCAGCTAGTAGCCCCCCTTCTCACGCCCCAGGACCACCTCTACTCTGAAGCCTCTTTAGACACATGCTTCCTACATCTGCTCAGGCCCCTGCTTTCTCCACCTCCACTGACCCCAGAATTAGTTAGGAAGAACTTGAGAGCCCCAACTCCAGCCCCATCCAGCTGCAGACAAGGCAAATTCACCAACCATAGAGTCACTCAAGGCCAACCAGCCAGGCACAGCCATTACATTTAAACTAGTTTCACAATCACACCAAGTCAGAGAGGCTGGGTAATCGAGGCTGGGTGGGGGAGCTCTCTCTACCTTTTGCCAGATACCCAGTGAGCCCAGTATTTCAGGCTGATTGCAGCTGAACACTCAAATCAGTAGTCCCTGCTGTTACCACAATAAATTGTGGTGCTGGAATGCCACTCTCCTGCCTCTTCCAGCTTGATTTGGGGGTCTCCCTTCCCTCTGCCCCACCCCAACTCTCAATCCGCATCCCCTGAGCACTCACCTGCCACATCCAGGTCCAGTTTGAAGTGGAAGGCATGTGTGTGCACTGCCCCCAGCACTCGTTCCCCCACACGGTTCCCAAAGAGGAGGCTTTCCTCTCCCCCACTCAGGAAAGCTGTGTTGATATACCCCGTGGCATGGACCCGCCCTTCAAGCGCCCCATTTGGGTGCAATACAAAGTCCCAAATGTAGTCATAGTTGCCTACAGATGACACAGACCTCACTACAAGGGCTGAGCCAGCCAAACCACCATAAAAATGACTCTCAATGTGATTGTGGTGCCTTCGAAGGGGTAGTCCTTGGGCCTCCTCAAACACACACACAGCCCCCGGGAGCAGCTGGACTGCCCCTTTGCCCACTAATATGTGGATGTCCACCATTGTAGACTGATAGGGGCAGTCCACTCCTCGCACCAAGCCCCGGCTGTGACTGCCAAGTCCATAGCTGCTATCCAAATATCGGGTCATCATTGTCTTGGGTGAATCGGCACCATAGACAGACAGACACTCCTGGACACTGACTTCATAGGCCACCCGCTCGCCCTTGAACCGAATATCAAAAATCCTCATGCCGCTGAACACTCCATGGCCAAAGGTAAATGTCCAGAGAGAGGATACCACCAGGTTCCCTTGTACACTATATCGGGAGCCCTGTGGTGAGAACTGAAGAGGGGGAAGAGGACCTGGGGAGATCCGGGACCTCAGGGACGAAGCCCCATTTGGCAGGGGTAGAGGAACTCTAACCACTTCCAGCCGGCCAGCCTTAAACTCCCATTCCAACTGGCTCAAGTCCGCATAGTAGTGCCCAAGGTAGAAGACCTGCTGGACAGCCCAGTGGGCAGGGTCCAGGGCCCTGTGGTCCAGCAGCAGCTCCAGCCCCACTGGGTGAAGGAAAATCCCAACACCTGAGATGTTATGGTAGACAGCTATCCAGGTAGCACGGTCCCCTGAGCGAAAGCCCCCAGGGGTGGCATGCAGAAATGCCAAAGTGGAGCCATTGTAGTTGAAGACAGAAGCCAGGAAGACTGGTGCCTTGGGTAGCTCCACCTCTTTCAAATGTTTCGCCATCTGGGCAAACTCAGTTCCCAGCATGGGGCGTCGGTGATAGGGCAGGGGGCCCCCGTGACGTTCCACTGTCACATCCCGCATGTAGGAGGGGTGCGGCAGCGGTCCCACCACCAGCTCACTCACGTTGGGCTGGGGTTGTCCACCAAAGAAGACGATGGCCAGTGCTTCCCGGGCAGGTGGGGGACTCCCCCTGTCCAGGTGGGCCAGGGCTGCAGCCTTGGGGGGCAGCTGCAGCTCCACCGAGAAGATGCAGTTGTCCGAGGGGCGGGCCTGGGCTGCATCCACCAGGCCTGGCCCCAGCTGCTGGGTCAGAAAGCTCATCACAGCCTTCAGCTCCTCTCGGCTCAGGTCGGCAAACAGCTGGCTCTGGCCAGGGTGTGTCCAAGGCTGGGCACTGTGGGATACAGAGGGGCAGCGAGGAGGCTGGCTGGAGCCACCTTGGCTGGTCAGCAAGACATAGGCCAGGGCAAAGATGGTAATGAGGGACAGTGCCAGGAACACAAGGACTACCTTGAGATTCATGGTGAATGCTGAGCTGAAATGAGTCTTACCAGCTGCTCCTTCCACATGAAATCAGGGTTTATATTCAGTAGGATGGACAGGAATGGAGAAAACTCCACCCTGTGGGTTGGACAGGAAATTTCTGACTTTGATTTATATAATTCTGTTCCAACTTTCTGTTCTGTGGTTTGGCTCAAGGCACTACTTCCACGTGCATAGCCTCCCCTGCCACTGAACACCTACTGCCAGCACAGTCAACTCCCCTACTGATTTCCATCATTTAGACCAGATTAGAGAGCATTTGGATTAACGCTAAACTCTACCTTCCACCCAGAATAGGTCTGAGGAAGAATGCAAATCTCAGATGCCCAATAAAGTCCTGTGTGCTACATGCAGGCCTGTGTGCTATATGCAGGCATTATAACTGTCCATTTTCCTACCTCCTGGCAGGCACCACCACCAATATTTCCAGGATCCACTGCCCAGTTCAGCAGTATGCACTGTTTTGCAAGTTGCCTAAGGCCAAGCCCTTGATTTGTAGTCTTGGGCCTCTTCTATGCAGTCAGTGAGAAAGAAGGAGTGGTGAGGGCCTGGGCTTAGCAATCAGATTTATATACCAATCCCAGGTTCCTAAGCTGTGTAACCACAGGGCAGTTACTTATCATGAGCCTCAGTGCCCTTACCTATAAAGAAGGGATAAAACTACCCTATAGATTCATGAAGATTAAATGTGATCATGCACACAAAGTGCTTAACAGAGCCCGACACAAGGTAGGCATTCAAAAATTGTCAGCTACTGGTACTAACCTCTGAAATAGAATAGAGCAGATGTCCCTCCATTGTTCAATCTTAATCTTAAATCTCTTTTTGCAGAGACAATGAGGGGATCATTGGAAACCAGAGGCTACTTTGCAAGGTGGAAGTTGAAGAAACTTTATTTCAGAGGGAGCTAGGGTCCTAGACAGCCCCCAAGTCACTTGAAAACCAAAACCAGGAGTCCCTGGCATCTCTTCAAGAAATTTAAGACATTATTCAGAGGAAAGAATTAGTATAAGGTAAAGCAAATGAAGGGTAGCGTGTGCCTTGAACCAGGTGATTCCCCACACACAGAACTAGAGCAGCCTCTACTGGCGGTCCATGGGTATCACTGCAGCAGGGGGAGGAAGGAACCAGAATCTTGTGAGGGTAGGGACAGAAGGCAGCTTAGGTCTGGGAACAGCTAACTTTCACATAACTCAGACTGAACAAAAATGAAAGACCCACTCTTGCCTCCTGGTAGACAGAAGCCTCCGTCTTTCCATTATTCCAGAGAAAAGAGGCAGCTCAATCAGTAACAAGACACCCAATAGGGTGGCTGGAGGTGTATGTGATGGCGGTGTCCCAATGTGCACGCACATGAGTATGGGAATGTCCCTAACCACCAGAGCATCGCACCAGCGTCTGCGGTTTTAGAAAGAGGTCAAAGTACCTGTATTTTTAATAATTTCTTGACATGGTAAAAGAATTTTACATTACGATCCAAGGGTAGTAGGGTGAGGAGAAGGGTCAGCAGAACAATCCAACAAACAAAAAGGGAAACTGAGAAACACGTGGCGGGAGGAGGGGAGGGCTTTAGCTGGAAGGGATCTGGAGGATGGGTAGGGGGGCACTGCCCAACTAAAATGCAATTGGTTTGTTACTGAGTACTATTCACGGGAAGACAGCATCCTCACTCCTTCTCTACAGAATATTGGGAGTAAGAATGATCCAGGTGGAAATATGATTGGGGGTTAGAAGACAGAGACAGGGCAAGAATAAAAGTCAGAAACAGACACTGAGAGTCACCGGCAGGCTGACTGCAGATACTGACTCTCCAGTAGTGGTAGAATAAAAAAGTGGAGGTTGATGAGGATGAACACAAAAGCTGTAACAAGTGACATCTCTGGAAGATTCAAGAGATAGAGGAGGCAACTCTTCTATGGTTTGACTTGCCCAGCAGATTTCCACATACACAAAATGTGTACATGCATGAGCGTGCATGCACATATATATACACAAGTGACTGCTTTCCCTGGAAGCACAATACTATAAATAAGAGAAACATTTTCCCCAAAGGGAAAGCCCAGCAGGAGCAGCAGCATCTGGCCCTCACAGCTGCAGACACCCCATCCCAATTTACAACTGGCCTGGGAAGAGGCAACCAGGAATCAGAGGACCAGCCTTTGCAATACCGTCCAAAGGGACCTGAGTCACAGAGGATAGGGCCTTCCCGAGTCCCTCTGCTTCTCATCTCTCAGTTCTCCTCCAACTCACCAGCCTCTGTGCACCAAGGGGTTACAACATCAGGAGACGACGAGCCCCAGTGGTCGAGGACTAAGACAACTATCACCCTCTGAACGGCATGTGTATGACAGGGTTCGTGGCGGGCGGGGGGGGGGGGGGCGGGGGGGGGGGGGGGGGGGGAGTCAGGTAAAATAGTAGGAACGCATGTGCGTGTGTGTCTGTGTGTGAAAATCCTAGTTGTAAAAACATCTAAAGAAGCTAGGGACTTGGCTGAAGGTCTAAGGTGTTTCTTGTCATGATCGGGTTCAAGGTGGGATGTGTGTAGATGGGAAATCCTAAGTCATCACCAGGGCAACTGTGGCAGGGAGATCCAACATCCCACAGTGGCAAGAGATACTAACTTTATTTCAGGAAGAGAGGAGCTGGTACCTCTGATCCCAGTTCCTAAAAAACACCTAGCACTTTCCTTCCAGTTTCCTCAGCTTCTAACCAACTAATCATCAAAAGGAAGAAAACACAAAGCCCAAGACACAGGGGTGAGGGTGGCGGGGAGAGAACAACAAGTATTCTTGTACTAACATCCTGCGCACACAGACCTGCAGTTCTCCAGAAATTAGAACAGGTTGGGCGTAGGGTATTAGGCAAGGAAATAGAAGAGTTCCTGAGGCCTGAAAAAAGAGGTAAACACGTCACAGAACTACATGAGAGTTTCATTAGACTCGAACTAAAAACAGAGAGAGGTGTGATTACTATTTCCAGCCAGTTTCCCCATCACGATAGTCATGTAACAAACCAAGGCAATGTCGGTCTTGAGCCAGACTCACAGAGTCCCCTGGCCCTGGCCCTGGCCTCAGTACAGTGTCTCTGCATTGCTGCTCCGGGGCCGTTTGATCTTCTCGATATTTTTCAGGATCATGTCATGTAGAGTGACCTGGGAGAAGAGGGATCATGGAATCACACATCCGTTCTACTCCTACCTCACAAAGAAAACTAGATCCCCCCCAAATCCCCAGCAATCACTTGCATAATCCCAATCTCACTCACTGAACTTGAATTCAAGGTGACTGCCCTACCTCTCTTACACCCAAAACCAGGTTTAAGAGGCTATTTCCAAGGCCCCAAGCGTCTAATAACAACTAACATTTATTGAGCACTTACCATACCAACAATTGCACTAGGTCCTTTAATGTGTTATCGTGTTCATTTTTAAAAACTATCTTTGTGCAGTAGATACTTGACTATAAATTCCATTTTAGAGATGAAGAAACTGAACTTTCGGGTTAAACAACTTGCCCAAGACCACCATTACAGGCAGAGTTGGCTCTACACCTGAGTCTGTCTGACCCACATCTTTACCCCTATACACTGCACTCCTTCCCATCTAGGTAGAAAGAAAGGAGACATCCAGCTAGACACCCTCAATTTCATAGTTCTCAACACTCAGTTCATGAGTAGAATTTGTTCTTCTCATTTTACCTCCATCTCCCATCTCGATCCCCAGAGAGTGGCAAGAAAATTATCACCAGAGCTATGAGAAGCCAGGGCAACTGTGGGCAGGGACTAAGGTTACTTACATATTGATTCCTTAGCTCTGATATGATGAGCCGAAGGCTGATATATTCTTTCTCATCAATCTCTGTCACAGTGCGGCGATAGTCCTCCTGAAAGGAGGGGCAGAGAAAAGGCTAGTTCCCAAGGCCTGACTGTCAACAGACAGCTCTTTCCCACTGACAGTCACTCCTCCCTATTCTATCATTTCCACCCTCAGACCATGAAACCCTTACTTACCACATGGGGATATTTAGCTATTTTAGAAACCAATTTGGCTCTTGTAATATAATATCTGGAAGAAGAGAGAAAAGGAGGAAGCTGCAGGAGACCCTGGACAGTACTTACCACCTCACCAGCCCCTATTTCCTGGGCCAAGCCCAAGCAGCCCTACCTAGAAATCTGGTCCAGATAAGATGCAGCTTCACTCTCAACAGTTCTTAGTTCTGCAACTGTCTCCTCCTGAAAAACACAAGTGAGTCAAAAGTCACTTTCAAGTCACCTTACCGCAGATCAAAGAGAAAAGGAAACAGTCAAAGCAGGGGAGATGAGAGTATCTCCCAAACCTCCCTCTCTAGTTTGTAATGCAAGCACATTACCTGAATGGACACCCCAAAGTTGTTCCCATCTTCTATCCTAGGAATCAGGAGCTGTACCCACATTTTGACCTAAAGGGTGAGGGGACCAAAATATATATATGATGACCTTGGCCTTTTCTACTGAAGCCATGAAGTATACAATTCATGCTGCTGGGGTCAGATGCCAGGAACACAGGAGTCAAGACACTTAGCCTGCCAACTTCCACATCACCGCCATGCCTCCAGCCCCACATCCAGCATTTTTCACAGTTCAAGCCAGACTATTGGGGGTCAGCCCATAGGTCACTAGCCCCTGCCTCACCGTGTTGCATTTCTCGATCAACAGCCGGATCTCAGGTTTCACTTTCTCAATAATGTCCACCAGCTGCTGGTTGCTTTTAAGCATCCCATTAGGCATCACAAACACCTTGGTTCCTGGCAGGGATGTGGAGAAGGTCAAATGATTGGGGTGGAGGGCAGGACACAGCATCCCCCACCTTTCTCTCTTCTTCCCCAGACCTGTGAGATGCTATGACCTCTGCCTTTTTTTTTTTATTTTTTTCCCCCAAAGCCCCAGTAGATAGTTGTATGTCATAGATGCACATCCTTCTAGTTGCTGTACGTGGGACGTGGCCTCAGCATGGCCGGAGAAGCGGTGCGTCGGTGCGTGCCCGGGATCCAAACCCGGGCCGCCAGCAGCGGAGCGCGCGCACTTAACCGCTAAGCCACGGGGCCGGCCCCAGAAAGTCCATTTTTTTTTAAATTTTATTTATTTATTTTTTCCCCCAAAGCCCCAGTAGATAGTTGTATGTCATAGATGCACATCCTTCTAGTTGCTGTACGTGGGACGTGGCCTCAGCATGGCCGGAGAAGCGGTGCGTCGGTGCGCGCCCGGGATCCGAACCGGCGAACCCCAGGCCACTGCAGCAGAGCGCGCACACTTAACCGCTTGCGCCACCGGGCCGGCCCCTGACCTCTGCCTTTTATCTATCACAACCCTATCTACAAACCATGACACCACCAACAGAATTAAAAACAGAGAATGTATGGATTAACAAACGAGTGTCCAAGGTATGCCAAAGGTCTGAAGAATAAGGAAATTAAAATGTGCTCTAAAGATTTAATATACCAATCATTATTGAAGAGGAAAAAATAACATGGAATTGGAACTTCTGTGAAAGATCTGCAGTGTGTAGCCATCTCCAATCTCTCTCCCTTGGCAGTCCACACTAAGTCAAATCCTTCTTGTTTATTGGAAAATTAGGTTTAGAGTGCTAAACAATGACCATGTTATGAGAACTTGGGAATGCTAACACTGGGAAATAAAATAAGATCCTGCTTCCTGGCCAGCAGAACACCAGATCCATCCTGCAAACTAGGGAGTAGGGGTTGGCTCTTACCTTGGAAGGCCTCTTCACATTCATCCAACCTTCGCTTCTTGTAAGTGGGCTAAGGATACAGAAAGACAGGAATTAGCCTGCTCTCAACACCCACGTCCCCATCACAAGTTACCTTTTAGCAAGTTTAATCCCTTCCTCAACCCCACAGGTTGTCTTATTAATTGACGCACAATTTACTAAGCACATACAAGGCTTTAAGAAAAGGTCCTTGCCACAAAGCAACTTACACTCTAGTAGGAAGACCAAGCTTTCAAGAAATATAACACATTAAGCATATAGCGGAGGGGGTGGATACTATAAACAATAGGAAAAATGAACCATTCAACGCAGGGTGCGGATAATTAAGGGAATATGTACAAATCTGCTGGTTCCACAAAGAAACACAATATTCAGTTAACAAATGTACTGAGCATCTGCTATGTACCAGCAACAATGTTAGGTGCTGGGGATACTAACATGATTAAGACAGTTTCTGTTTCCCACAATTACAAGTTCTATCAATGAGACAGTAATGCAGACAAAAGACAATACAGTGTCATCAGTGTTATAAGAGAATGTGGATATATAACTGATAAGGATTAGGTGCTGAAGATACACAGCAAAGACAGAGACTGCAGTTATACAGCAAGAACTACTCACCCCATAACAAGACTCCAGACATTGAAACAGGTAAGAAAAGTCTTACTTAGAGCCAGGGGGACAGACCAGATAACCTGAGGGAACCTGCAGCTATTAGTCCTATTTGAAACCCACTCTAACACGGAGTAGTATTAGCATATTCACCTCATGCTAGAAATGAAAGTCAGGGTGTAAAGGGGGTGTACTGTAGTCATCATGTCTCTAAGAGTCCTCGTTCTCAGATTCAAATCCCACTGTCCCCTCCGCACATGCTCAAACTGACCAGGAAATAGAGGACAGAAACCTATTGCTTCAGGACACAAAGATAAATATAGGACGCTTACACCGTCCAGTCCATCGTGACTATTGGTGAGAAGAATGGGGTCAGGAACTGGGAGATTCATGTCTGAGTGGATCTGAGTTAGGTCATGGATGTTTAGGATTGGTTCCTGAAAGAGAGACACCCACCCCCAAAACAAACATTAGTCTTTTCAAGATGAACAAAGAAGTATTTCATTTGAAGGGCAAGAAATGAGAGTGCTTTACAGTACAAAACAAAACAGAACCAACACATCATTTGTCCCATTTGAGAGAAAGACCAGGGCCAAAAAAATTAGGGAATTTGAGGAAAAGAAAAGGGTCTCTCACCTTCAAAAAACTATCAAGTTCTAACAACTTCTTTGGGAAAAAGTTTGCCACCAAGTCTTCTGCCTAAAGATGAGGGGAAATACAGTTAAATTAATAATTGTGGGAAGGTCCCTGATATCTCTTCTTTTGGAAAGTCCCAACTATTAACCAACACTCATTTTTCTATTTATTTCACTCACCTCACTTGTGATCCGCTCCCTGAAAGAATCAACCTAAAATTAACAAAGAGAGCAATTCAATAAAAGCAAGTCAATACCTGGCAACAGAAGTAAGGGCTGGAGTGGGAAACCCAAATCCGGCTGTCTTTCCCTCACCTTGTAACTGTAATTAGAAGGTGAAAGGCCCCCAGACTGCAAATACTTTATTTTTTTGAGGATCCATTTCTCCATCTCAGGAGAGGGAAGCAGGGCTTTGAAGGCAGCACCCACCTGTCTTCCCTCCCTCTCTCCCTGTGTCTGAATTTGAGAGCAGACAAAAGACAGGTAGCTAAGGGAGGTGTGACCTCACAAACGTGCCAACCCCCACCCAAACCTGGCCTACGATATCAGGCAGGCCTGACGCCAAGGGCAGGGGCAGCGTCTGGCGGCGGCGATGTTGCTAAGGTCGGGGACTTCCAGCTGTCACCAGTCTAGAGCACTGAGTCCACCACGTGTTCGCAGAGGTCTCCCCGGGGCTCTCCACCACCAAACGGGATACAGAAGACCACCCTATTTTATCCTCTCCACCGATGGCGTCTCCGGGAGTGGGGGGCTGGGCTGAGCAGAGCGGAAGCTCAGAGCTGGTGTCCCCAGGGAGATAAAGACTTCCCAGGGAGTGGGGAGGCGGTCAGACTGCTCGGCATCGAAGCGAGGGGTAAGGAGGCCCGGACCGGTGCCGCTACCTTGAGCTTCACTTCCTGATCCACCTTCAGCAACGAGGCCATGGCCGGGCCGGGCCGTGTCCGTTCCGCTGGAGACCGGAGGCGCTGTGGGCTCCGGGGACACGGTCAGAGGGACGGCAGGAATCTCGGCTGCTCTCGGGACGCGGCCGCCCTCGTTGGCTTTCTCACTGCTGACTCCGTTCCTCCGTGCCGCCCGCCCGCTGCCTGCTGGCTCTCTCGCTCGCCCTCCCGGCTTTCGCCGCTCACGCCGGAAGTTACGTCACAGCCAATCGCCGGGACTCCGGCGAGGATGCGCACGTGCCGTGCGCAGCCGCGCTGAGTTTCGGCTCCGGACGCTGTGGGCCCGGCTTATGTCTCCCTGGCTCTAGTTCCCAGGAGGAGTGAGGTAAGAGGGAGGGCAGCGGAGGGTGCTTTACTGAGAACTGAGCCTCACAGACTCGAGCGCTCGCCTTCACCGAGGGAACCTTTTGAGCCGCGGCCGCCTTGACAGGACCGACGACGCCGTCGCGCACCGGTGACGTCGGCCCGAGGAAGACGGCGGTCGCGGCGCTGGGTTCGGGGGGTCTAGTCTGCGATTCCTGCAGCCGCTTCCTGTTGGCCGAAACTATAGTGTTAGGATAAAGCCAAACAGAAGACAAGTTGTATTGTACCAGACTTCCCCACCTTTTTCCGCCACTTATTCTCATACACCTCCAGACCTCAGAGATCAACTGCCTGATGGGCAGATTGACGCCCAGAGTTGGGTAGTGCTTGTCCAAGGCTACACAGTGTTTCCAGTAAATCCTGGACCAGAGCCCCAATCTCCTGACTTCGAGGACAATGCTGTATCCCTTTCCTAATGGAATGCAGAGACTATCTCTTCACTCACCCATTCATTGGGTCTGTCTCTTAACGTTGATTATTTCGCTTAATAAAATGGGCCAGGACCGTCCCGGAGTCTAGAAATATAATGTGAGTCACTTATGTAAGTTAAGATCATCTAGTAGCCACATTAAAAAATAAAACAGGTGAAATTTATTTTGATCATGTATTTAACCCAGTTTATCCAAATACTATCATTTCAACGTGTAATCAATATAAAAAATATTAATGAGATCTTGTGCGTTCTTTTCTCATATCATATCAAGTCTTCGAAATCCGGTATGAATTTTACACTTACTGCACATCTCAATTCAGAGGCATCACATTTGCAGTACTCAAGAGCCACATGTGGCTAGTGGCTCCTGTATTGAACAGCACAGCTCTGGGAAATCAAAGATGAAAAAGACTCAAATTGTCTGGTCTCATGGGTCTTAATACTGGAGAAAGGCACCAGAAAGTAAACCTTCAACATAATTGCAAAATTTGATAAATGTTAGGAAACAAATGACTGATGTAGAGAGTACTAGGAATCTATTTTAGATAGAATGGCCAAGGAAGTCCTCTCAATGAAGTTAAGCTGAAATCTAAAGGATATAAAGGAGCTAGCTTGGGAAGAGTGAGGGGAAGAGCCTTGGGAAGATGCAGCACAGGCAGATGCCCTGGGGAAGGAAAGATGTCCTGTTGAAGAAGTTGAAAAACTGGTTAGTGAGCTAGGGCTGGGGGTGGGAGTGGGAATGGGGTGGGGAGGGTTGTTAGGAAATAACTTTGATTTAGTGCAAAGGCAGGTCATCTGATTTACATTTTGGGGTCACTCTTGTGGCTGAACACTTGTCCTGGGCAGGCCTCTGTGCTAAGAGCAAGGGATATGGTGGGAATACACAGTTAAATGAAGTGCGACTGACTATGGCCTTTGGAATCAGAGAGACCTGGCTTCAGATCCCACCTCAGCTTCTTACTGTGATATCTTGGAAAAATACTGAAATACTGAGTCTCAATTCCCTCATCTGTAAAATAGAAGTTTAATCATTGTTAGTAAATAATATGTAATTCTGTAGCGTTGTTGTGACTACTGGAAATCATATATATGTAAAAGAACCAGCACAGTGCCTGGACACAAGGCAGGCACTAGATAAATAGTAGCCATTGTCGGATAAGCTACCTGTTAGTGCTTAGCATGAGGAGATTACTCCTTAAACTACGTAATTATCATCATCCCTGCTTTCAAACTCAAAGCCCTTTTCCACTTATTCAAGGCTGCATACAACATAGCCTATACTACCTATCTTGCTCATTAACGTGTAACGGTTTTCCCCCTTTTACCTCTGCTTTCTGTTAACATTGTCCCTAGTAACTTTTGAACTCTGATCTGGAACTTAACTTCAGGAATGCTTTCCCAAATTAACTTCATCCTATTTTAAGTATGCCATTATCCTTCATTTCTTTCAGAATTAGTAACTTCAACTTGAAAACTTAATGTGTTTGCGCTTGTTGAAATATGGCTTTGTTCTTAAATAATCATGTTTTGTCTCCCTCAAGTAAGTTGTAAGAAGACAGATACACATTCCTTCTTTATTTCTCTTCCTCCTCCCCATCCAAACATTTTATATAATACTCCACTCATTTGTTTATTTATTTATTCAGTGAACAATTGCTGAGGGCACCAGTATATTTAATAAACTCTATTCATTCCAGGGTGCTTATGAATCAAAATGTGATCACTGATGACTAGTCTCATTTATTTATTTGTTTATTTTTTTGGTGAGGAAGATCAGCCTTGAGCTAGCATCCATTGCCAATCCTCCTGTTTTTGCTGAGGAAATTAGCCCTGAGCTAACATCTGTGCCAGTATTCCTCTATTTTGTATATGGGATGAGGCCACAGCACGGCTTGATGAGCAGTGCGTAGGTCCGTGCCTGGGATCCAAACCTGTGCACCCTGGGCCACCCAAGTGGAGTGCACGAGCTTAACTACTATGCCACCGGGCTGGCCCCATGGTCTCACTTTAAATGCATGTCCACAAATCTCAAATGGGTGCACAACGCTGCCTGGGTGCCTACTACATGTTCCTGACAAGTTTACTCTCCCAGATTCAAAATGACTATCATATGTTCTCATCTTCCTAAACCTCCAGTATCCCTCCCCTCTCACCTCTAGTTTATGGTCTTGGCTCATTCTTCATTGAGAAAACAGAAATAAATGAGAACGTCATCTCACCACCAAATCTGCTAGCTTGCAATTACTTTCTGCCTTTCGTCCTCTTTCATTGAAGGAAACATCTCTGTTGCCATCAAAACTCAACTCTTCCTTTTGTGCATTGGATCCCATCCCCTTTCACCTTCTAAAAGTCTGTGCTCCAGTGATTATCTATTCTCTTTACTATATTACATTTATCCCTGTCTACTGGATCATTTCCAAACATGACAAATATTTTCCATCTTGAGGAAAACCCACCCTCGAACCCAGGTTCCTCTCTAGCTATCGCTCCATTTTTGTGCTCTTCTTCATGGCAAGACTTCTTGAATGATATTGTCTCTTACTCTGTTCCTCATCTCCCGTTTACTTCAATCCACTCCAATCAGGCTTTCCCACCCCCTGTTCTCACTGAGGTAATTCTCGTTAGGTTACCAATGACTTCCATGTTGACAGCACCAGCGGTCAACTCTCTTCATCTTACTTGAATCTCTCAGTGGCACTCAACACGTTAACCATCCCTGTTCTTAAAACATACACAGCAACCTGTTCTTCCAGTTTTTCTCTAACTTCAGTGGTGACTTCTCTGTTTCCTTTGCCGGCTCTTCCTCCATTGCTCCACTTCTTAATGATGGCATGCTCCAGGGCTCAGTCTTATGTCCTTTATTCTTCTCCACTTACACTTTCTTCCTAAGAGTTATCACCTGTGTTCATAGCTTTTAATACCGTCTGTATGCTGATGGCCTTAAATTGATATCTCCAGTCCTGACATCTTCACTGAGCTCTGTCTATTTGACATCTCTACTTACACAGTTAATAGGCCTCTCAAACATAACGTGGCCAAATCAGAATTCTTGATTCTGCTACACAGCTGTTATTTTCCTGCTCTTCCCCATCTCAGTTACCAATGCAACTGTCCACCGACTTGTTCAAACCAAACACATCAACCTTGATTCCTCTCTTTCCCTCATCTCCCCATGTTCAATCCATCAGCGGGTCCTGTCAGCTTTACCTGTATAATGAATCCCATATAAGTATGCTTTTCTCCATCTCCTCTCTTGGTATCCTAGTCAAAGCCACTGTCATCCTTCGCTAGGACTATTACAATAGACTCCTCTCTGGTCTCTCCCTTTTCACTCTTGCCACCCCCTACCTCCCCCACACAGTCTAGTCTCTACTCAGCACCCAAGATTTAATTATCTTTTAATATGTCAACCACAAGAACGGCAGTATCTACTAAAGCCGAATAAATAGGGCCGGCCCTGTGGCTTAGTGGTTAAGTGCCCGCGCTCCGCTACTGGCGGCCCGGGTTCAGATCCCGGGCGCGCACTGACGCACCGCTTCTCCGGCCATGCTGAGGCCACGTCCCACATACAGCAACTAGAAGGATGTGCAGCTATGACATACAACTATCTACTGGGGCTTTGGGGGAAAAAAGTAAAATAAAATAAAAAGCTGAATAAATTTTTTATATATATATATATGTATGTATATATATCTGTGACCCAGAAATCCTGACTCTAGGAACAAATTTTTTTTTTTTAATTTTATTTATTTATTTTTTCCCCCTGCTTCTCACCCTCAATGGTTTCCCAGCTAACAGAGGCCCTCCTGAATCCCCCAGTTGAAGTAACTCCACCCACCCTTGCCCCTGCTTATTCTCTATCACATCACCATCTTTTATTTTCCTCATCATACCTATTATATTGGTTTGCTGCTATAACAAAGTAACACAAACTGGGTGGCTTAGAACAAGACAAACGTATTGTTTCACAGTTCTGGAGGCTAAAAGTCTGTAATCAAAGTGTCAGCAGGACCACGCTTCCTCAGAAGGTGCTATGGAAGAACCTGTTCCAGGCCTGTCTCCTGGCAGCTTCAGGTGTTCCTTGACTTGGAGACAACTGTCTTCTCCCTGTTTCTCTTCAGATGTCTTCCCTCTGCTCATGTCCATCTTTGTGTCCAAATTGCCTCTTTTTATAAGGACACCAGTCATATTGGATTAGGGCCCCCCCAATGACCTCATTAACTTCATCATCTGCAAAGACCCTATTTCCAAATAAGATCACATTCATGGGTACTTGGGTTAGGACTTCAACATCTTTTGGGGGGACACAACTGAACCCACAACACCTACCATTATCTGAAATCATCTTATTCATTTGTTTACATGTTTGTTGTCAAATTTTCTCCTCTAGAATATAAACTATTA